AAATTTTAGTTAAGTATCTCATCAAATGTAAACATCCATTTTCTTTAGTGAAAAAATGGAACTCAAATTTCGAGGACAGACTTAAACAGATATTATATTTTACCTATTTCATTGTATATTCTCCTTTTCTCACTGTTCTAATATAATGATTAAGACTGGGACTTACCCAGACCTATTGACAATGTGATATAGAATTATATATTAAAAAGATAAATTGTCTTACTCGATTATTTAACTTCTAGTGTAAAAAATAATACAACTTTCTTAATTGAATCTTATGTCACTTGTATCACACACACACACACGACCCAAATACTCACCCCACACCCAAGGCCATGTACTATTCAGACTCATTTAACTTTTAACTGTTCATCTGTCCATCTCAACACACCAACAAGCGTGTGGTTATGTACAGTATGGTCGACAATATATCAAGAAGCTTTCCATCTCTTCCCTCAAACATACACTACTGACTGACTTGCGGTGTGAAAAGACAGACAGACAGACAGACAGATTAGACAGACAGACAGACAGATTAGACACAAACAGATAAACGAAAGTATCACCTCGCTCAGTGCCGTTGAGTGAGTAAACGTGTTGAAATGTTTAAAGGTGAATTCATTCTTACATGACTCCTTAACTTGCGTCACTATTAAACACCTTCAGTCCCTCAACACTCCATTTTATACACACCTCACTACAAGAAACACAACTACTTACCTTTCATCACAGGTTCAGCGGCAACACAACACTACTTCACTCGACTAATTAAGACAAAACACGACTCGTGACATTGACCAGAGGCGCACTAACCTCCCACAGCCAAAATAGCATCAATTATAATGTGGCAAGACGTAATTTGTGGCGACACTTGGCGACCTCGACCGTTACCCTCTGCTTTAGTGCCCTCAGCGGCTGCGAGAGGCGCCGTGTTAGTCAGTGTCACTGGTAATAACTTCTTAATTACTGTATTTTCATAAACATCCGAGGAACGTAGTACTCCAACATTAATTAATTCTAGGAAATACTACTACTACTACTACTACTACTACTACTAATAATAATAATAATAATAATAATAATAATAATAATAATAATAATAATAATAATAATAATAATAATGCAAATCACCTGAAGATTCTGCCCCCAGCTTAGTCCACCTGAAGATTAACCACCCTGACACTACCTGTAGGTTATGATAAATTAGGTTAAATTTGGTTACCGTCGGGGTGGTTAATATTCAGGTGAAATAAGATGAGGCGAATCTCTTGGTCATAGAAGAAGCGTGTTCACTGACCACCACCACCACCACCACACTGACCACCACACTGACCACCACCACCACCACCACCACCACCACCACCACCACCACCACCACCACCACCACCACCACCACCACCCCCACCACTGACCACCACACTGACCACCACCACCACCACCACCACTGACCACACCACCACCACACTGACCACCACCACCACCACCACACACCACCACCACACTGACCACCACCACCACCACCACCACCACCACCACCACCACACCACCACCACCACCACCCCACACCACCACCACCACCACACTGACCACCACCACCACCACCACACCACACACCACCACCACCACACCACACACCACCACCACCATCTAACTTAACGTGTCTCTCACCGTCCACATGCTTTAGTTATTTCTCATTTATTTCTCAGACAGGTTATATATGTCCTTAAAGTAACCTCTACCATGAGTCCTACCATCTCACCCTCTACATGAGTCCCTTGAGTCTCTACCATAACCTCCTCATGAGTCTCTACCATAACCACTACCATGAGTCTCTACCATAACCTCTACCATGAGTCTCTACCATACCATGAGTCTCTACCATAACCTGAGTCTCTACCATAACCCCTCCAATAACTCTACCATGAGTCTCTACCATAACCTCTACCATGAGTCTCTACCATAACCTCTACCATGAGTCTCTACCATAACCTCTGCCATGAGTCTCTACCATAACCTCTACCATGAGTCTCTACCATCATCGCCGCCCTCCTCCATCACCACCCAAATATACACAAGCCACAGAAAATATCTCACCTAACCACAACACCACCCTAATGACCCCCCCCCCCCAACAGAGCTCCTCCATCACTCTCCTCATCTCCCTCCACTTGTTACCCACAAACCACCACAAACCACCTCGTTATCTGTGATTGGGTGACCAGTGACCTTGGGGAAGAGCTGCACAGCCTCACCCAAGTGTGGCCGCCTGGAGGCATCTGTCTCGGTCACCTTAGTACCGTCACCCACACGAACCCCCGAGAGATTCAGACTCGTGAACCCCGAAGCAGTAAGTTGGTGCGTTATTCTGTGCATATATGCTTCGGGTTCGTGAGTTCTGAATTTCTCGTGGGTTCGTGGTTCAGGGGGACTTTTGTGGGTGACTGGGGGGGGAGGGTTGAGATGAGAGGGGATATTATGAGAGGGGGAGATGATGAGAGGGGGGATGAGAGGGATGAGATGGAGAGGGGAGGGATGGGGAGAATATGTGAGGGAATGTGATGGGAGGGGAGGGGAGGCTTGGCGGTCAGTGTAGGAGGCTGCGGTGGTAGTGGTGGTGAAGGTGGATGGTCCAACCTAACCAAAAGACTATAGTTCAGTCATCCCGGCAGACACACAGACAGGCACTTAAGTTGTTTTACTCTGATGAACGAGTTTCACTTTTTTAAACAAGCATTACAAAGACCAAATAGCTAAATTATTGTTATTACACACACAGTCTTGGTTCGCTATATACATCTCCGCGTTTACCAATCAACAAATAAGGGGTGGAGGTTTCACATTTAACGGACCCTTGATATAACGGACTTTCCTCACCATACAGTTCGTTAAATAGAGATTCCACTGTACCCCCCCCCCTCCTCCCCTCCTACTACAAGCGTACGATTGATGAGGGCGCGTGCGGCGTGTCTCCGTAATGACGCACTTGCGGTTGATAAGGACGC